ACCATGCTGTGCTTGAGCTGCCGAGCACAGGGGTACCTGGAGGCACACTAACCGCTGAGGAGCAGCAGCAGCAGCAGCAGTGCTGTGGGGAAGCCTGTTGTCCTTAGTTCAGCTGTCAATGTCTTTGCACTGACAATGCATTTCTCTCTGAAGGCAGGAGCTGTGGGTGTTCACTAGGACACGCAATGCAGAACATGCCAGGAGTGCAGCTTTCTCAGAAGCAAGCAAACAAAAGCAAGCTTAGAACCAGCCACAAGCTGAGATTTTGCTCAGTTCTTTTTAAAGTTCCTTTCCTGAAACACTCCCTTAGGAGTCAGTTCTCTTTAAGTCTCTATGGACTTTTCCAGCCACTGTCCTTCCATTTCCAACTGCATGAGATGGCTGTAAAGAAAGAAGTCTGTTAGCTGCTGGCTACATCCCCGTTTGCTAACTAAGAGCCAGCACCAAGAGGCTTTCCAGGCCGTTCCCTAGGGGAGGCAGGAGGGAGGCACCTGCCTGATGTGCAGGAGGAATCAAAACCCTTTCATTCCCCAACTCAACCCAGCATCAATCCCAAGAACATGATCTTCAGCGAAGAGCACAGCAGTTCCGCAGCCATCTGCTCTCTCCCACTCCATAACGCATCCTTAAATCAGCAAGTACTTGACATAATTGGATCCCAGTACATGGCTGAGGTTTGTAGTGCCACTGCAGCACAAATAAACATCTTCACCACAGCTGTGGGGCTTCCAGGAGGAAAACGTGCTTGTCTCCAAAGGAAACCATGGCAGAGCTTGTGCACCAGCAGGTGATTCCTGCTGCGGCTGTGTCTGGAACCAGGTATCCTTTTCCACTGCTCATTTACTGCTCTCTTTTAAAGAAGCAGTGTAAAACCAAAGCTGTTCTGGTGCCAGCACAACAGTGGTGCTGCCAGGAGGAGGGCTGGGGCTTGTTATTGCCGAGTCAGCATCTGCCCATTGCAGGTAGCAGGTACTGGTCAATGTGGGTAAGTGCATCTGCTGCGTGCCCAGCCCCTGGTGCTGGCAGTGCCGGGCAGAGAGCAATCTGGAGAGCAGCCCCTCAAAGAGAGCATGCAAGTAAAGCACACGACTTGGGAAGGAAAGAGACCACGGTGTAGTCATGAGCAGTTGCTCTGGGAAGGTGGCATTGTAGAACTGCAGCTTTCTCCTGTTAGTCCTGACACAGCTGCGTGAAGGTGAGCTGGGAAGGGGAGATGTGTTTTTCCTGAAGTTGTTTTTTGCGTTTCATCACTTCGTTAAAGAATGTTAGTGCAATCACCATTTACCTAATGAACTCCTCAAGTTTAATTAACGTGATTGGCGCCAACTTTGCAAAGAAAGGTTCATCCTGCTATAAGAAAAAGATACATGAAATATTAACTCGTACCTCTGCGGGGGCCTGGGCTGGCAGAGAGCTGCTGAGGATGCTCCCCAGCAGTTCCCAGAGCTGCTTTTGCACCAGCTTTTCCCTTCGCATCAGGAATGGTTTGCCAGGGCAGCAGCACAGGGCTGGGGGTGCGTGAGCTGCCCCAGGCTCACAGACCAGCCCAGGTAAGTTGTTCAGTATGAGCAAAGCATCACATTCAGAGAATCCCAGACTGGTTTGGGTTGGAAGGGACCTTAAAGCCCCTCCAGCTCCAACCCCTGCCACAGGCAGGGACCCCTTCCACTAGAGCAGCTTGCTCCAAGCCCCTGTGTCCAACCTGGCCTTGAACACTGCCAGGGCTGGGGCAGCCACAGCTTCTCTGGGCACCCTGTGCCAGTGCCTCAGCACCCTCACAGGGAAGAGCTTCTGCCTGATGTCTTGCCCTGAAAACATGAATGAGAATGAGTTTAAAGCATAAATACCTATATGGAGAGAAGCCTGTCCCTGTGGTGCTGTGGTCAGCATGAGGGCATGAATCCCCTGTTTGACAGTCATGGAGAGGTGATGTGATCTGGTCCTGCTCTTGTGCTGGTCTATGTTGGAGTCGAGTTTAAAATGCAAACTCTTACCACTGTCCTGAGCACTGGAGCTTCCCTCCCCAGTTCAGCCTCTTGGAGAATTTGCAGGGATTTGTTTGGAGCCCTTCCCTCCCCCAGGGTGGCTTATTATCTACTCGTAAAAGCGTGTCATAGAGGTTCTGGCCTTCATACAGGTGAGAAATGTACAACAAACATCCTTTACACCTGGCATATAGGAGCTGCTGAGTATTTCTGTCTGGATTTGAAATACAAGATTTCAAAAGCTTTAAAAGCTACCCCGCAGAACCAGTCAGTGACAGCAGCAAAGCCACCTTTTCCAGTGGGAAACTGGGATGGAGAGGTTGGCCCATTGCAGTCCTGCCCTGTCCATCACAGCCACCCTGGGGAACCCAATACGGATTTACCAGCATTTTATTGCCCAAAACTATTTTTCCCTGGGAGTATTCCAGGGCTGAGGGTACTTTTGCTCCACCAGATGCCCCAGTGCCGCGGTGCTGCGAGCAGAGAGGCTTTCTATGTTACTGCTGTGATGAGAGAAACTGTTGTGCAGCCAGAGCCTTGCTTTAAAGCACCAGTAGTTTGAATAGTTCTCTTAAATGAATTTGACTTTGTTAATTTTACTAATATAATACAGGCAGAGGAGCATATGCTGCTGCACAACAGGCTGCGTCCCAGCGGGCTGCCCGTGCTTGGCGCGCCTTACCCGCATTGCAGAAGCTTCCTTCTCCATTGAAGAAATTCTGCTTGGAATTGACTCCAACAATCACAGGGATGACACCCCTCTGCTAAGGAAGTCGTTATTGCCACAGAAAGCACTGGGAGCCTGGCTCAGGGATGCGGTGGGAAACGTGGGAGGGAGGAGGGATTGCAGAGTCAGGCTGGGAGGATGCTCATTTACACCTCAGTGCTGGTGCAGCAGCATGTGGGAAGAGTTTTGCTCCGTAGATGTGGATCAGGATCATTTGTCCTCTCTCTTCTCAACATGAGTGATGACTGGAATCCCTTTTCGAAAGTGAATTATCATTCCTTGGGCTTTACTAGTCATAGTTCTTGCATCTCTTGCTATTTGAATAGTCAGCTCCTGAGCTGCCTTTCCTCTTCTCTGCCTCTTTGCATGAGGGGTTAAATTCATGTGATGCAAACCAGGAGTACGTGAGGTTCCAAATATTGCATCAACCAAGGGAATTCTCCCTTGTTACTATGCTATGGGGAGACACCCCCACCCCCTTCCCCCTGCAGTCCTGTGGCCAGCAATGGAAGTAGAAACACAGGAGGGACTTAGATCTTAGGCAGAAGCTCTTCCCTGTGAGGGTGCTGAGGCGCTGGCACAGGGTGCCCAGAGAAGCTGTGGCTGCCCCATCCCTGGCAGTGTTCAAGGCCAGGTTGGACACAGGGGCTTGGAGCAAGCTGCTCTGGTGGAAGGGGTCCCTGCCCGTGGCAGGGGTTGGAGCTGGATGGGCTTTAAGCTCCCTTCCAGCACAAACCAGGCTGGGGTTCTACAAGTTGAACACGTGAACATGTACCGATGGTGCTGGGCAGGGTTTGGAGCTTTGGTTAAGCTCAGCAGTCCCTGTTATCAAAATCTATGCATCTAAAAATCCACTTCTCACCCCAGTGCCCTGCTGAAACTTACTTTGTGCAATTACATTGCTGAGGAGCAGTTATCGTGTCAGCAGCTCTCTATGGCTCACGTGGCAGCGGTGCCTGAGGTCGGTGCTGGTGTGGGTGCTGCAGGAAGCAATGGTACAGGATGAGGTCCTTGGCGTGGATGGGGTCAGTCTGAACCCCCCTACCCCAGCTGAGGCGGGTGGTGGGTGCACAGGTGACACCTGCATTGCTTCAGGGATGCATTGGGAATGCATCAGCATCTTCCCTTGGAAGCCACTGTTTCCCAGGACCTGCAGGACTCAACTGACTCTTGTCCTGAAGTGCTTCAGCCATCGTTGGGTCTTAAATTCATCTTCTGTTGTCTCTTAGCCTGCAATTACTATAGAATAAGCCCCTTGGGCTGTAGGTTATAAACCAGAGGCTTGTAGGTTCCAAACCTGTGAGTAAAACTTAGTATTCCAGGAGCGTGGAAGATCTGTGACTGGAAATCAATATTTCATGTTCTTCCCTCCGTATACACGTGCTGAGTGAATGATGCTGTTTGGGAGGGGATGGAAGGCAGCAGCCTGGTCCTGCCACTGCCTCTCTCTCTCTGTGTCCCACTGCAGCAGCGAGGCTCCCCCAGCAGAATCTGTCCATCCTCCCATGTGCAGTCTGGAAACAGCAGAGATGAGAACCATGTAGAAACCAAAAATGGTGACAAGCGTGGCCAGGGCTGAGCACTGAAAATGAGATTGTCTTTGCTCTAAACACAAGTGAGCACCCAGGGGAAGTGATTGGCAATATTGCTGATGATTTCCTGGGCTCTATTTCAGTGTGTCAGGAGGCTCCAGAAGTGCACCTCTAGAATAAATCGGTGCCCAAGGGCTGATTCTTCTGTCTTTGTAAGGGTTTCACGCCCATCGGTGGTGTCCCTGGCCATGGCAGGGGGTTGGAACTAGATCGTAGAATCCCAGAGTGGTTTGTGTTGGAAGGGACCTTAAAGCTCCTCCAGCTCCAACCCCTGCCACGGGCAGGGACACCTTCCACTGGAGCAGCTTGCTCCAAGCCCCTGTGTCCAACCTGGCCTTGAGCACTGCCAGGGATGGGGCAGCCACACAGGGAAGAATGTAGATGATCTTTAAGGTCCTTTCCACCCCAAACCATTCTGTGCTTTTATGATTGTATCTTTCCCCTGCAGTGGCCGTCGCTGTCTCACTGCTGGGTGAGGACAGGCACCAGCCCAGCAGTGCCAGGCTCCTGTGGGGACATTGTTCTCTCCTTTGGGGACCCCAGCAGCGTCTTCTCCTGGGGAGGAGAGCTCCTCCGTGCAGGTCTGTGCAGTTCCCCAAACTCCAGTGCTGCTGGGAGGGAGGTGTCTGGAGGAAGGATGTCAGCCAGGCATTCCCTTAGAGTTGCAGATCTCCATCTGCCCCTTCCCACCCCCAGGAGCTGCTGCTCCTCATCTTCACGGGGTTTATACATACACAGAGAAGTAAGCGTGAAGCACAGAAACGCTCATGCATGGAAAATGGAATTAGTGAGATGCTTCTGCTCACAAGCAGACAAAGGTACCTGCTGATTCTGCCTGGTACACTGCATGTTCACTCCATCGGCATCTGTCATGGTTCAAGCTGGAGGTGACAGCCTTGCCCTTCCTTCTGGAGTACTTGCAGACTGCAGAGACTGAGAGCGGCTTGAATCCAGTCCACTGGGAACTGTGCAGCTGCATGAGGAAAAGCAGAATGAGACTCAATGCTACAGAAGAAACGGGACAACTTTGTTATGCTTCATGTCATAGATCTGAAGGACTGCTTGATATGTATAGAAATGGCAGTAAGAGACATGGAAGGGGCTGGATCATGCCCCTTTGGCTCCCCAGGAATGGGGGTCCTGCACCCCATCCTTCTCATCCCTCTAACCACAAGGCCAGGCCTGGGTTTGCTTCCCCAGCAGCACATTTCTGTGCAGCTCCGTAGCTGGTGCTGACACCAGCTGCAGCCCACAGGTATCAGCCTAGGGATGCTGGAAGCTGTAACCTCTGTATTTAAACACACAGTTAAGAACATTTAGGCTTTTTTCATTGTAGGTAGCACTGAATTCTGCCTCCTTCAGCTCCCCATTCTGACTGGCAATCGTTTATTTGTGTTTCTAAATACAGAAGGTCAAGGTAAGCTGCTGCTAGGCCAGCTTCATCTCAGGTCTCTCAGCAGAGCTGCCTGAGGTCGTGCCTGCGCCTGGGAGAATCCCACCTCCAGCCCCTGCCAGTGCCTCCAGTTTCTGTGGTAACAGCACGTCTCCACGGTTGCCACTTCAATATGCTAAAAAAGTTATTAATAACACCGGAATTTCTTCCGTGTGAGTTTTCATTGGAAGGGTGCTGGGTTCACAGCTAATTGCTCAGGTAGTTTGCTTGCCCTAAATCCGAGATGCTGTTAGAGACCAGTGAAGTTGTCAGTAGCTAGCAGTGCTGTGGGGCACGCTGCTGGGGCAGTTCTAGGCTCTGCCAGTGTCTGCAGGGAGCCTATGGAAACCTGTGCCTGCTCCTGCTTGGAATTGTGCTGATTTCTGATGCTTGGGCACCGGCAGATCCCCGTGGTCACTGGGGTTTGCTGCTTCTCATGGAATCACAGAATCCCAGCCTGGTTTGTGTTGGAAGGGACCTCAAAACTCCTCCAGCCCCAACCCCTGTCACAGGCAGGTACCCCTTCCACTAGAGCAGCTTGCTCCAAGCCCCTGTGTCCAACCTGGCCTTGAGCACTGCCAGGGATGGGGCAGCCACAGCTTCTCTGGGCACCCTGTGCCAGCGCCTCAGCACCCTCACAGGGAAGAGCTTCTGCCTAAGAGCTCATCTCAGTCTCCCCTCGGGCAGCTTAAAGCCATTCCCCTTGGCCTGTCCCTACATCCCTTGTCCCAAGCCCCTCTCCAGCTTTCCTGCAGCCCCTTCAGGCCCTGGAGCTGCTCTCAGGTCTCCCCTTCAGGAGCCTTCTCTTCTCCAGGCTGAACAAGCCAGTCTTCTCTTTTGTATTTAAAAAACAAGATTAACTCAAAGTATGTATTATTAATCAATCTGTAGACCTGGCTGATCCACTCCAACCTTCCCCCATGGCAGTGGTCTTTGTAAGGTGCCTGCTCACGAGAGAAAGCCAGTAGTATTTTCCACCCAAAATGATCCACTGGCTTCTTGGGACTACTTGTATATTCAGATTAAGGGAGGGAGGCCAAAGTCTGTCTATGTAAATGTCATCCAAATCCTGCTTAATGGATTTAGCAGGGGTAAGTCAGTGGAACTCCACCGAAGGCAATTGAGTTGCTCCCACTTAATTGGTGAATTTATCATCAAATTTGCTCTGTGGAGGGATGGAAACATGCTGTATATTCTGTACACTAAAAATAGTCCATGTGTTGGTCTCTGGTCATTAATAAAAATCAAAACAGGAACTGTGTGCAGCCCAAAAACCCCATAGAGAAGATAGTCGATAAGTATCCCATGGGATGCTGGCAGTGTCAGTCCCTGTGGCCAGCACCATGCTGGGGCTGAAATGAGCCTGTGTAAGCAGTGAGTCCATGTCTCACAGGGCTGTGAGTGTTGTGCCATGAGCCTGTGGGGCTGTGCATGACATGAAGACAGGCTGAGAAAGTTGGGGCTGTTCAGCCTGGAGAAGAGAAGCTGCGTGGAGACCTCAGAGCAGCTTCCAGTGTCTGAAGGGGGCTACAAGGATGCTGGAGGGGGACTCTTCATTAGGGACTGTAGTGACAGGACAAGGGGTCATGGGTTCAAATTGAAACAGGAGAGATTTAGGTTGGATGTAAGGAAGAGGTTCTTTACTATGAGGGTGCTGAGGTGCTGGCACAGGGTGCCCAGAGAAGCTGTGGCTGCCCCATCCCTGGCAGTGTTCAAGGCCAGGTTGGACACAGGGGCTTGGAGCAAGCTGCTCTAGGGGAAGGGGTCCCTGCCTGTGGCAGGGGTTGGAGCTGGAGGAGCTTTAAGGTCCCTTTCAACCCAAACCAGGCTGGGATTCTATGATGCTGTGATGCTGGTTGTTATATATAATACAGGGTTATACATGATGCAGTGCCCTTTTGCCCTGCTGCCTGGGAGTCTTTCTGATTTTCTCTTTCTTACCTGAACAAACATATCAGGGAACACACAGAGTATTTTGGTTTTATGAGGTTCTTGATAGAGAAGCTGTGGAAGGTCCCCTATTGCCCCAGGGTCCAGTGGCTGCAGCTCATTTTGTGTGGGATCAGCCCAGGGGAACTGGAGCATCTTTCCTTCTGTCCAGAGAGCTGCTTCTTTGGGTTTCTTCCTTTATCTGTTTGCTTGGATTTGTCTTTTACTCTTGTGAGCAGCAGTATTGGGAATGGACTGGAGCCAGTTTAATGCTTGAGTGCTAAGGCGGCTCTTTCTTATTGCAGATTCAGTTCTGAATGGAGGAGGCAGCAATATTGAGGCGTGGACACGCAGCTGAGGTGGTCGAGGTGCCATGAACAACCATGGAAAGCAGCAGGTATGAGAGACCTGAGTGTTTTATGTGAGAAGCAGCTTTTATTTGCACCACCAGTAAAGAGGAGGAGAGTTTGAGCCACGGAGGCCAAGGAACAGCACGGCTAAAGGGTCTGCCATGGGAGGAGAGCTGCTGCCCTCTGTGACCCTCCTGCTGAGCCTCAGCCCTGCCGAAAGCCCAGCTCAGGCAATCCCAATGGAGAGGCTCTTGGGCGAGACCATGGGGCAGGGAAAATCAGGGCAAAGAACGGAGACATAATTAAAAATTAGGAGCTGGGCTCCAGGAAAGCAGATTAAGGCATTAGGCTAAGGCAGAAGCCGCAGCCACTACACGACAGCACTTAAATTGTCTTCCCTGGGGCAGCCTGAACACCCGACTCTGGGCGTTTGCTGTTGTTTTGGAGGCTGCTGTGTGGGTCGGCGCACAGCATCTGCCTGCTTTCCCCTCTGCAGCCTGCTATTAGCATCTCAGGTAATTACATTTTCTCAAAATGAGATGGAATAAATATGTGCTTTTTTTTTCTTTTTTTTTTTTTTTTTTTTGCAAGCATCAATATTTCCATGGGGTTAAATTGGCAGTTGCCTGATTTTGAAGCAAGGGCATCAATGTTTCTAAGCCTGACTTCTTGTCTGCTTTCCCCTTGGCCAGATAATAATAGAGCTATTGATTGTTACTCAGGAAAATGGACTAAAAAAACCTTTTCTTTCTATGTAAAGATGGAATTTGACCTGGTGGGTTGCAAGAGGAAGACTCTGTGCTCCCTCTCTTAGCTACTAAATAACACGCATTAAGATCTATTTAATTATTTGAGGCCTCCACAGCAAGATGTTTATATTTTAATGTGCAAATCCAGCAGCAGGGTTCACGTTGAAACTGTGCCTTAAAATAAACCACAGTGAAGGCTGGACCAGCGCCTGGGAATGGGCAGCTTGGCTGTTCTCCCTCTGCCCTGGGCTGGGAATGAAGGGCATCTTTGGGACCTACTTAAGGCGAGCTGCAGCTCCAGCTCCATCACCTTGGGCTCAGTGCTTCTCCAGGCTGGATGCTGAAGCTCTCATTGCACAAGGGACTTGAGCAGCTTCTCAACAAACAGTCTGACCACGGAGTGGCTGCTGGTGAGTTCTGGGTCTCAGTAGTTCCTTGCCAGTAGTTTTAAAGTGGTTTGAATTCTTCATAACGGGAAACAATGACAAAGTCAGAATTCTGGTTTCTGGAGTCATTTCTTGATGTACATTAGGTCCAGAGCAAGGTCTGCAGGGCAATCCTGCAGGTCCACATCTGCCCCAAATAACTGCACATGCATTTGTTTAGCTCAGCAGTTAAAAAGTCATTTATTTCTAGCTAGTTGAGTGGAAACTCAGCTTACTCCCTAGAAGAGGCTGATGTGACTCACGCACCATGACAAGTGCAGAGGCAGAGGAGCTGCAAGCTGCATCTTTCCACCTTCCCACCCCCAGCCTCCCCTGGGGCTTTACAGACTCTGTTGTTGAGGACAGCACATGCAAGTCCTTGGTAAGCTGTGAGCCACAACAGAGTCTCATCTGCTTTCCACCAGCCCCAAAAGCTAGTGCCAAGAGTCATGTCCTCACAGTCATGGGGTCAAATGTCCACCGGGGAATGATAAGTTAAGTGCAAAGCTGTCCCTTATGCTCTTGTCTTTCTCACTTGTGCTCTGGAGATACCACAGCTACGGAGTCAGACACCAGTGACATTGGCAAGTGGAGCTGGATGGAAAGGAGCTGCCCGCTGCAGAGGTGCTCAGGCCCTGAACACTGCCAGGGATGGGGCAGCCACAGCTTCTCTGGGCACCCTGTGCCAGCACCTCAGCACCCTCCCAGGGAAGAGCTTCTGCCTAAGAGCTCATCTCAGTCTCCCCTCTGGCAGGTTCAAGCCATTCCCCTTGGCCTGTCCCTACATCCCTTGTCCCAAGCCCCTCTCCAGCTTTCCTGCAGCCCCTTCAGGCACTGGAGCTGCTCTCAGGTCTCCCCTTCAGGAGCCTTCTCTTCTCCAGGCTGCCCCAGCCCAGCTCTCTCAGCCTGGCTCCAGAGCAGAGCTGCTCCAGCCCTCGCAGCATCTCCGTGGCCTCCTCTGGCCTCGCTCCAACAGCTCCATGTCCCTCCTGTGCTGCTGCCCCAGAGCTGGGTCAGGGCTGCAGGGGGGCTCTCCCCATAGCACAGCAGAGGGGCAGGATCCCCTCCCTGAGCTGCTGCTCACGCTCTGGGGGTGCAGCCCAGCACACGGGGGGGTCTGGGCTCAAGCTCACACTGAAGCCGGGTCACGGGGAGCTTCTCCTCACCCAGCACCCAAGTCCTTCTCCTCAGGGCTGCCCCATCCAGGTTCCCTGTATTTGTGTTTGGGACTGCCCTGACCCAGGTGGGCCTGAATGCTCTGCCCAAGGCTTTTTAATGGGGGGAGCCGTATCCCGCTGTCATGGCAGGGGAAGGAAAGGCTCTTTGACATCAGGGAGAATTAAATCGAATCCCTGGAATGGATCCAAGATAAGAGTGAGTGAATAATTCACAACCAATAATTTATGCAGAAAATGTAGTTTCTTTTGCTACTCGAGACTTGTCTGTAAAATGGAAAAGATTACTTCAGCTGTGTTTGTTGTTTGACTTTGTTCAATTAAGCTGAGTGAGGCTTTGAATCTCAGGTTTATTTTATGCATTGATTGTATATGGTTTATATATCTGATACTTAATTTTCAGCAAACCTCCCCTGCTTTGGTTAGGGACAAATTAGCTGAACTGTGTCACGACGCTGATTTCTGTGCTTTGATTGAATAAGCATAATACTTGCAGGGCTTGACCCAAATCTCCTTTTCATCTCTTGCTCTTGGATTAAGCCCATGATCGAGACGAGGCTTGAAAAAACACTTGTCAGAGATGCTGAAGACGTTCAAGAAGAGGAGGAGACAGGAAGAGATGGGGAATTTTAATAAACATTGAACAGTTTTTGCATCACTTCAGAGTCATTTGAAGCATCTGAGAATGAGCCTGCTGTGACGGGGCCTGCCTTGCTGTTCAATGAGAACGTGGGTGAGCTCAGGAAAGAGGGGCTGCAGAGGACAACCAGCCTCATCGTGACTCAAACGTCCTTCCATAAAGGAAGAGAAACCCCTAGCAACAACCCCACACATTAAAGTCAACCCTATACCTATGTTGCATTCTGAATACATTCGGTAGGTAATAAGCAAAGGGTTCTGTTGAGACAGCTCAGTGTCCTCAAACCAGGGCACACGACACCCCAAAGGAGTGATGAGTTTAAGCAGGCCACAGATAATTAGAGATGTGAGACTTGAAAAGATTTTAAAGAAATTATTCTTTATAAATTGTAGTAAATTATTTATTTAAAAAAAGAGAAAACTTACTTGTCATTAAGAAAAAAACCCTTGGGTATTTCGAGAGCAGCCTCACTGCAGAAGGGCAGGGGGAGAAGGAAGCAGCTTTGATGGCTTGGGGTGACAGCCCGCCCTGAGCAGGGGATGTTTACTCACTCCATCCATAGTGAGCCAGCAATTGCAGCCAGCTTTCGTCTTCCTGTCCTCAAAGATCTGATCAGTTATAAAAGATATTGTGATATTATCAATGATGAGTTTAAAAGGTTGCTCCTGGTACTGCATGTGCGAGCAAGGATTACCCTTGTCCTTGCTGCCCGGCCCTGGTGAGGGCGGGCTGGACGTGGCTGCTCCTGGTCCCAGGGCACAGGGACTCTTGGAGCTGGGAGGCATCCCTCCTGCCTTCCACATGCCAAACCCAGCTCTTACAGCACAACTGCTTCTTTTGGGGGTTTCCTCTTTCAATCCTGAAGTGCATGCTTTACCCAGTCCTTAAGGGCATCCCAGTTCATCTTTGCATTGGATGCAGTTTGCCAGCATTCAACCATTGCAAGCTCTTCTTTCTGGGACAGGGCCATACATGCAATGCTGAGTTAAATGGAAGCCAAGCACTGAGGTCTTTGAGGAGCTTCATTAGTGACCTCTCTGCACCCAGCCATCCCCCTTCTACAGCACTGCTTTTTGTTGTCCTTGCTGTCCATGTCTACCCTACCAGCCCTGCACTGATTCAGAGCTCCCACGTAAATACTGGTCACTGCAGGGCTTGGTTATGTGTCCGTTCTGGTCTTGTCGGGCTTTTCCAGGCTCTTCAGGGAGCTCATGTTCATACATCTTTATTTTTAGTGTGGAAGATGATGTGGTATCTCATGGTGGAGCCATTTATGCAAAGAGCTAGAGACAGGGTAGCAATCACCGGCATTTCAGGAGGGACTTCTAGATTCTGCTCCTGCGAATTGCCTGCTTAGGCTCAGCTCTGACTCTTCAAAGTATTTTCTCTTTTCCTTTTGTCAGGGAAATAAATGTACTCACCAGGGTGCTGTTCTGAGGTGTACTGCTCATTTTACGTAACCCATCGCATTAATTAACATTCATCTGAGCAGGCTGAGGTGTGGTGGGGAGAATAATAGGCTTCATGTAATCAGTCTTGTGGGGAAAAGATATCATAATTCCAGCATGTGAATACTGGTTTAACCATTGACAATATTCCCCTGCTCCCTCATCAAGAGCAGAGTGGGAAAGAGGAAGAAGGATGGTCAGATTGCAGTTGTTTCTGATTCAAATGCAAAGGCTCTTCGTGGCACTGAATACTTAGAACAGAACGTGCCTGCAGCATTGGGCTCCACCAGATGTAGGAGCTTCTTATCCCTGAGGAATAGACTGCTTTGCTTTAGCAGAGCTGCTCTTTCAGTAACGTGGTAGGTTTAAAGCTTCTCCACTGACAACATCTGTGGGACTCTGGCAAGTGATCAGCAGAGAAAGGAGCATTTTGTGAGGACAGTCACATCTTCATGCTGAGCTGTCAGGTTTGGTCTGTCTAGACATGAATAAGGAGTTGATGTTTGGGGCACCAGTGGTATTAATTATGCACTGAGTATGCAGGAGTGAGAATGGACAGGTACAGCCATATGCACTGTACAAACCCACTTCTGCTGCACTCGATCATCTGATGCTGGAACTTGTCCCAGAAATACCTAGAAAGGTCCCAGGTTTTACCTTTGGTGGTTTGGGGGAGGTGTTGAGTAGAGTTTTCTACTCATTCCTGCAGGTGCAACAAACTGTGCAAGGGCACCAGGGGAATTTGAGAGGCTTTGCACTCCAGCTGGCTAGGAGACCTGAGGATCTGAGAGGAAAATGAACCTCTCACAACCCCAGCCAAGAGCATCTCTGATGTCCTGGAGGGCTGATGGAGCCCCAGGTAGCTCCTGTCACATGCTGTGACAGCAACACTGGGGACAGACCATGGCAGGATCCAAAAGAACAACCTTGATGGCAACTACCATGCAGCAGGTGAAGTTTTGGGAGGCACATGGTGCTGCGGACATAGCTAGGAATAAGAAATGTTAACACAGGCAGGCAGAAAAGGAAGGGGAGTTGCATCAAGAAGAGCCACATGCTGCAAGAAGCCTGTCAAACAGAGAAGTGCCCAGGGTTTGAAGAGACACAAGAACAGTGAGGGATTATGTCACATAGAACCAGTTTAAATGCTAAGCTGGAATGAAACAGGGCAGCACCAAGGGTTCAGGTCATTACTCAGGGAAATGTGGGCATAATCTCAGGGGATAATGGACTGTTGACCGGGAAGTGCATCGTTGTTTCTTAAGCCCAGTCTGGGTACCAGTGTGAAAACCTTGCTGGGATGCGCCACAGTGAATGGCCCCAAGATAAAAGCAAGGAAGGTCCATGGGTGATAAAATGGGAAAACTCAGTGCCAGTCATGGTGATTTCTCTGTATGAAAGAGATAAAATGACATAGCAGAGTCTGTAATAATGCCCATGAAGAGTATGCTTGGCAAGTTTGTAAGGTCTGAGGAAAGGAACAGAGGTGGAGCAGTAAGAGAGCAATAGGAAACAGGTTGTTCATCAGGAATGTTTATTGCACAACAAAACTCTGTCCACAGGTAATTTCTCTCTCCATCTTGACCAAATACATGTTGTCTATGGAGAGACACTCTGAAGAGGTTCCTTTTAACACAGCTCGCTTTGCACACAATAAGGGACACAGCCATGTTCCTCTTGCTGTCTGCAGGCTGTCTGTGCAGGAGGACTCACTGCTCTTCTCCTTTCCCACTGGCAGGATGGGTGCTCAGGCACCAGCCAGCCTCTGTTCCCAAGCCTGTACTCCACCATCACTGCCCATTGCATCTGATAAGGATCTCCCACTTGTGGGAGCCTTCTCTTCTCCAGCTTGAGCCAGCCCAGCTCTCTCAGCCTGGCTTCAGAGCAGAGCTGCTCCAGCCCTCGCAGCATCTCCATGGCCTCCTCTGGATGTGGGATCATAAGTGATTGCTGCTTTTGAGGACTGACCATGGCTTCCTTTGTAAAGCTTTGGCAGCTTGAAGCATACACGATTGCTCCATGGGCCGCATCTGTGGGAGGTTCTTTCACGGGCTGTATGTATTCATCGCATTTCCCCTTCATCCGTCTTGCATGCTTCCAGGAAAGAAGCATGATGTATTTGATGCTGTAGAAGGTGTTGAACTCTGCACGATGAAGGTTTGGCCTGGGAATCAGAGCAGCTGCGCAGGTTGAACCTTCTTTCCAGTCTGAGGAGGAGCTGGAGCCCCGGTACCTGCAGGTAACAAAGCACAACTCAGTAAAAGCCAGATTAAAGCTGCACCTGGGCTGGCAACACACAGTGTGAGACCTCAGAGCAGGGAAAGCCGATCTCCCTCACTCCCACTCACCCCTTCTTTGCAGTCATGAGCATCAAGGTGTGCGTGACCAGCTGGGCTGGCCAAGATCATGTGTGGGGACACACAGGACACGTGTCCTACTGCCACCCCTTAGAAAGCAGATGGACACCAACATCTGGGGCACCGCGCAGCTCTCGGTGTCAGGCACATTCATCTGTGTACCAGGGACAACGATTCAAGTGCTGGAAGGAGACCAGAAGCACAATATATATCACAATCTATCAATAATCATTCAGTCCTGGGGCTGCCTGGGGCTGGGACAGAAACCGGCTGAAGAAGGACAATGTGGCTGCTGCTCTTCTTTCTGCAATCTGTGTTTTTGCCTGCCAATTTATAAGCACTTTCAAACTCAAAAAGGGGAAGATTCATATCAGAGAGTGTTCCCTGGTAGTCCCTGAAACAGTGCAGTTTGCAGGAAGTTCAATATTTCTCATAAATTAAAGAAAATACATCTTGTTCCAGACCTGCTATATGACATCCTAAGGAGGGAAGCAGGGAAAAATATTGCCCAGTAAGTGATAACATATCAAGGTTTCTCTGCTCATTATCAGCATAAGGGACATAATATACATAAAATGTAGGTCATAGCATCCCATTTAACACCATATTTATCCTTGGTGTGAGAGGTACTTGTGTGCTACAGCAAAACATGTTCTGATAAGAAATTTCAATGGCAAAAAGCCTCCTTATCCTGCAGATAAGCAAAAGTGTTTAGTTTCCCCATGGATGCTTTTTACAGCATCTCCTCTCCCTTCTCCCCCTGCCCCACTCTTGCTGCTGTGGGGTGGGTGAGGGCAGGTGGAACTCCCTGTTTGCAGCATTTAGCCACTGGGGAGGGGAAGGGCTGATGGCACCAAGGGACATCTCCAAAGGTACCTGGGCAGGAGGGCACATGGGCCTTGGTGGAGGCAGGAGGAGGCAGGCAGAGGCAGCCAGTGTCTCCTTCCAGATCCGGCCATAGCAGACCAAAGCCACCAGTGGGACCCAAATGACTGCAGCTACAGCAGTTTGAATAATGGAGGGAGATGTAGGAGACGTCCAGTGATATTTGGGACTCCAGGAGCCATGCTGTGGACTTCACTTAGGTAAAAGAGCTGTTGATGCACTCAGCGTGGGATCCCAGAATCCCAGACTGGTTTGGGTTGAAGGGACCTTAAAGCTCATCCAGTTCCAGCCCCTGCCACAGGCAGGGACCCCTTCCACTGGAGCAGCTTGCTCCAAGCCCCTGTGTCCAACCTGGCCTTGAACACTGCCAGGGATGGGGCAGCCACAGCTTCTCTGGGCACCCTGTTCTTCCAAAGGATTTTCAAGCAGATGGGTAACCTGACCTGAGGGCCCTGCCCAGAGCCACCGAGCTTCTATCTGGACAACAGGAGGTGTTTCAGGGGTGGTGGTGTAGAAACGTGGCATAGAAACCACTTTTGGAGGTAAGGAGATGATTATTCCCGTATCTGAAGGGGGCCCATAGGGATGCTGGGGAGGGACTCTTCATTAGGGACTGTAGTGACAGGACAAGGGGT